ATTGGCCTGTTTTGCCGAGTGAATGCTTAGCCCTCCAAGCTCCTTCGATTTTTGTAAAACCTCCCAAGATAAGAGATGCACTTTTCTCTGCTCATCATTCCCACCCCAAACAAATTTCTTGTTTTTTTTTTTTCAATTTCATCACAAATAGAACGGGGAATCTTAGCGGTTTGCATCGAGTAAAGGGACATCCTGGAGAGGGTAGGACTTGGTGAGAGTGATTAAACTCGCCAAAGATAAATACTTGGACTTCCAACCTACTAAACATCGGTCCAATTTTTCACAGAGATGGCTGAAGGTCTCTTTGGTCACTCGACTCGTGAGTATAGGCATGCCTAGGTACATCCCAAGGTCGGAGGTAGCCTCCATGCTCAAAGCTGAGCTAATATCTGACTGCACAGTAGCCTCCACATTCTTAGAGAAAAAAACGCGAGACTTAGATAAGCTCACTTTTTGCCCTGATGCACTACAAAATCGATGCAAACAAGTGTGGATTAATTGGGCTTGATCAATAGAGGCCTCCGCAAATAACACAATATCATCCACAAAGAAGAGATTTGAAAGGAGTGGACCATCCTTACTAGCCCGAATAGGCTTCCAATGACCATTGCAATTGACGATTCTATAATTTGATAAAATCGCTCCATACACATCACAAATAAATATGGAGATAAGGGGTCACCTTGGCGAACTCCCCTACTTGGTTTAAATTTTTGTGACAGTTCGCCGTTCCATAACACTTGAAGGGAGGTCGTAGAAATACACTCCATAATGACATCGGTCATTGTGATTGGCAAATTCATTTGGACTAAAGTATCACAAATAATAGACCAACGAAGACGATCATAAGCCTTCTCAAAGTCGATTTTAATCGCCATATAGCCTTTAGCTCCCTGTTTACGACCCATAGTATGAAGGACTTCTTGCATTATGACAATGTTGTCCGTAATTTGATGACCCGGCACAAAACTGGATTGAGTATTTGAGATCAACATTGGTAGCACTGACTTCAAGCGATTGATAATCACTTTTGTGATGATTTTATAGGCTACTTTACACAAGCCTGTGGGACGAAACTGGGACGCCAACTCGGGATGCCCCAATTTTGGCAGAAGAGCAATAAAAGTATTATTGAGATCATCCGAAAAACCCTTGCCCTCTAGGATAGGAAAGATTGTCGCATAAACACCGTTAGCCACAATGTCCCAATTTTTTTTGGTAGAATAACGCTTGAAACCCATCGAGACCCGGGGCTTTTAAAGCCCCCATATCTTTAACGAATGTATTAATATCCATTATTGAGTATGGCCTACACAAAAAATTCTAGTCACGCATGGGAAGCTCAGGAAAGGCATCTTGAGGGATGTCCATAAAATTCGGCTCTCCTTCCTCTGTGAATAACGTGGAAAAATAATCCACAATATGATCTTGGATATCAACCTTGTCTTAAATCCATTCACCTTCAGTATTTTTAAGGGCCACGATTTTATTTTGCCACCTTCTTATAATGGTATGTAAATGAAAAAAGGTAGTATTCCGATCTCCATTCTTCAACCATTCAATACGCGATTTTTGGTACCATACCGTTTCTTCTCTGCTCAAAATTTCATCAAGATCTCTTTGAAGCTTTGGTTCTAATTTGATCAACCCTCTATCCATACGAGTGGCTAGAATTTTCTGAATCCCACCAATTCGAGCTAGTAATGATCTTTTGTGCTTAAAGATACTACCAAATACATCCCGATTCCAAGATTGCAAGTCGCTAGAGAGTTTAGCAAGAGCAGGCATAAGAGGGGCATTCACATCCCACTTATTAGTGACAAATTCGTGACATTTTTCATGTGACAGCCAAGTCACTTGAAAGAAAAAAGGATGATGCAACGCTTGAAGGGGAGCAAATCCATTCGGTAAGATGAAGATAGGGCAATGATCAGAGTATACAACAGTGAGATGTTTCATGGAGGCTTTTTCAAATCTCATTGCCCAATGTTCGTTGCATAGAGCACGGTCCAAACGACCACTATGTCTCGTTTTAGGATTCAAGCCTCATGCCCAAGTATGAGCAGCCCTAGAAAATTCGACTTCAATCAAATCCATGTCTTCTATCCACGCATTGAACCGTTATGATCTTCTTGTGGTTTAATTTTAAGACATGAACTACTTCTTTCGGAAGGGAATCTTGTATCATAAAAATCCCAAGCTAAAAGCCAAGGTTTGTTATGAGTGTTCACAAAATTCTTTAGCTCCTTCCATAAATCTCTTCTTTTCATCGGGTCGGGGCTTGCAGCAGAGAAGTACCACGGGGTTGCTCCTAATGAAAAAATCTCCATTATTATGTGTTGATTTTGCTTCAAAATAGGACTTACATTAACAAATTCGGGCTTCCAGTAAATCCAAATACCCTCGCTAAATCCCATTGCATCAATTCTTGAATTATGACCAGTGTAGCCTAGAAATCGAAGCAATTTTGGTAGCTTGCTCACCACCCATATGCGTTTCTACCAATACATGAACATTTGGTTGATTGGCGCGCACTAAATCCTTCAAAGAGGAAACAAAATTTCTATTTCCCGCACCTTGAACAATCCACACCATGCAAGTAATAGGTAGAGAATCCGGAGCCAATTAGGTAGTCTATCTTCCATAGCAACAGGTATAAAGGGAAGTGTGGTCGTGTAAGCTCGACTTAAGAGTCTAATCAAGTGATTGATTTCATTAGGAGGCTTCATTGTCACCACCAAGTCCGGGGGATCCGAGATTGGAGGTAGGAATGAATCCATTTGCACTTCTAGTACGTGAATCAAGATGTTCGTGATTATTAGGTACGGTTGCTCCATCACTTGCCCCACACACAAGATTTTCTCCAGAAAAACATTGAGTTTGATTGGGTAATGAGTCTGAGACATGAGAGATGGATTTTTCTGGCTCAAAAGAAACTAGGTTGTGCTTGTCACTGGCTTGAGATGTGCTGAAGGTGGCTTGTTGGTGTGCTTCTTCAATACCCTCAAACCGGAAGACATAATTTTCTTTACCTTGATTATGGCTTACAAGAATATTAGGACTGGGGAGAGTCACATTAGCATTAATTTCCTTAAGAGGGGCATGAATATTATGTGAAGATATATTATTTTTTTCTTGAGAATTTTTAGAAGGATTTTTTTTTTTTTTTTTTTTTTTTTTTTTTGGCTTTGACTTGTGCTGACTGGAATTGATATTTTTACCTTTGCTAAAGATTGATTTTCCCCAGCTGGCCGAATATTTTGAGAAAGATCCCCCGAGTTTATCGTACCAAAAATATTTCCATCAATATCTTTTGCATTGTTACTCATATCCACAACTTCCATATTAAACTCCTTGATTATCTCATAATTCTCTTCTCCTTGGTTATTAAGGGTCGCAAATCTCAATCCAACCCCATTGATTCTTGCCAGAATTATTGCCCAAGATATTGTTACCATTTCCTTCCTCCACCAACGCGGCATTCTTTTCTGCCACCTTTGCACCACCGACAGTGGTTGTTGTAACCCCAACTCCACCCTTCTCAACTCTTAAATTTCATTTTCTCGTTGGTTTTTTTCGCTAACATCCAAGATCCAAAATCCTTCGTTTCTTCAGGTTTCTGAACTTGGTTGTGTAATGGATTCTCATGAATTGCCATCTCATCTTCTTTATTAGACAGAACATCAGGTTGACAAGCATCCTCGGAGTGTCCTAATTTGCCACATTTAAAACACACCATTCTAACCTTCATTGCACTCGCCAGATTCTTCCTTTTAACCAGAATTTTGATAACAATGGTTAGGACAAATCTATTTCGACACTCAAACGAGTAAATTGACCACGCTTAGCTTGTGCTTTGATTTTGATCCAATTTTGCTCAAGAAATTGATGTCAAAGTATTCTATAGGTAGATTGGGGATGCGCACGCACCCAAGCAGTAAGCACCTTAATGGGAGCTTCATTAGGAACAAAATTAGGCACCCATTTTCTAATAGTCAAATAATTATTATCAAGAAGCCAAGGACCTTGTGTGAGCACTTAAGAATATCTGCTTGGTTTGTGAACCTAGCAATATAGTAACTGTAGCCAATGTCAGTGAGAGATAATTCTCCCCTAATATTCCATATTTTCTCGAGTCTTCGAATTAATCCCATGTATCCCAATTTCCCACTGAACATCTTAGTTATTAAGGAATCCTTCCAAGGTTTGCACAACCTTTTTTTTTTCCTTCCTTGATAATTGAATAACAGGGCAATGTTCATCATTGAGGATTTCTCAAGGATGGGTTCATTATCCGAAATCTCCTCTTCTTCATCCACATCTAGAACATTGGTGTCTTGAGAATTCATGCCTTTCTGCTTATCACGTTGCATGATATCTCTGAAGGAGATGAGATCCCAGGTTGATTGAGTCCTTGGTTTGGATGAGGGGAATTATGAGGGATAGGATTATCACCCTTCACTCCATTTTCAGCTTCATCCATTTCTTCATCATCTTGATTAGATGAATTGAAGATAAAATTCATTATCTTGCGTTTTGGTTTCTTGTTTGATCGGATCAATTGATCCCTTTCTTCAAATGAAACTTGGTTTGCGTTGAGACTTGTAAGGTTTTCCACATAGATAAAATTTTCAACTTTCAATTAGTTGTTTTTTTTTTCCTTCTTCAGGGTTACAGGATGTTTAACAACTGTAGTATTTACAATATTTTCCTATTTGCACATGTGTTACTCTCCTCATCACATGGATCAATATATTTATTCCTCTCTATCTTTCTTCTCTTAAATATCGTGTCCTCCACCCATGTTGCAATATTAGGGGAACCAAAGAAGTATGTAATTGCAAACATTAATGATCATGAGACGAATTGAAGTGTTGCGATTAATCTGAAACGAATTGAATATTTGTAACCGTTGACATTGGGCACATAGAAGGGTAATAAGTGTGTCTGTCATTTGTGTAGGCACACTTCAGCTTGAAATTGATCCTCCTCTTTGTAAAGCGTAGCTGTGTAGGTGCACCACCTTCACAAGTGCAAAGACACTCTATTTTAATTTTATTAGAGTCATCCCTTAACTATCTTGCAACGTCTCTTAGCCTTTTAAAAAATACCACTTTATTCTAAACGATAAATAATAACTCGATGCTAATGATGGTTATTCCCAAAGTTGACCACTCAAGAATAGAGGAGTTAAAAACTATTTTGATCGATTTGATCCGAAAAAAAAAAAAAAAAAATCTAAATTCATATTTTAATTTGTACATACATAATAGTCTAGTACTTATGCTTCAAATTTGAAATGACCATGGCCGGACATGACCCGACCTAACTGACCCTGATCCAATAACCCGAATTGACACCGCTACATAGATCCCCCTTGGAAACCCATTTGTCGTAACACGTGGAGTCTCTTGGACCTCAACATGAACCAATGATGGGGCGAAAAGAGGACACAGCCCATACCAAAGAGTTGGCCTTTTGGCTTCCTCATAACAAAAGCGAGCTAATTGCAGCTCTCTTCTTCCCATCGTCCACTACTAACACCTTCATCCTAATTTTCTCTCTCTTTCTTGTTACCTTGCCATACATCTGATTCTATGCTATGTAAATTATGATTACTGATAATACTGGGAGCAGCAAAAGGTCAGAATTTGTCTAATGTTATGTAGTACTGTATATATTAAGAAGTATAACATTTTCACTTAGAAATTCCTTCTTACTATGATAATTCTCTGTTATCTGCATCTTTTCTAATTTTTTTTTGTTTTTGTTTTTGTTTTTCTAAAGTCTGCCTGCACAATATTTCAATGGTACTACTTGATTATAACATTTAACTGACATAAATTTTTAGAAGTGGGATTTTGAATATTTGAATATTTTGTATTTTTTGAACATTCCTGAGCTGGGTTTAGGATTTTTTTTTTAATTTTTTTTTTGAAAATGAATTTGTAAGTTTTAAGATTATATACATGTATACTTTTTCTGGGTTTAAGTTTACTATTCCAATGTTTGATCTTTGATTAATGTAACTTCTACCTGCTTTGCTGATTGTTGAATTTTGGTTGTTTATGTTACCGATAAAATGGCTGTAGTTTTGGGGAATTCTGTAAATGAGTTAAATTATTCTTTTGAATTTGAAATTTCTATATATTCTATCCGATATTTCTGGGATTTTGTCATTGTTTTATTTTGAATATATTTATATTTTTTTAATTCTGTTTTGGGTTTTCCTGTATTTACTCTATCTACAAATCTTTGTTATTTCCTGTTTAATGTGCTTAGTTGCTGAGTTGGGCTATTTTTGTAGATAAATAGTTGAAGTATTGAATTAGAACCAAAATTAGGTGCAATTATAGTCTGATTAATTGGCAATGTTATTGTGGTGAGGATACTAGTGAAATAATTGCCTAATTTTGTTGTATTAATGTACAGATAACCCTTGTGTGACTAAACCATGGATAATTAGTTGAACAATTTAGTTTCAAGATGTCACGACCGTCCCAACTTCCACCTCGGTGCCCATTGCAAAAGAAAGCTGTTGCACACCAAACCCACGACCCTAGCTCGATTTATTCCCAAGGAGTTAATAAGTCCAGTGCTAGACATCATAGATCGTTATCTCAAAGTTCGGTGTTGGAGGAACAACCAGCGTGGCTTGATGACTTGTTAAGCAACTCGGACTCAGTTCCTAAAGGGATTCGCCACTGTAGGTCGGCTAGTGATTCGTTTGCTGTTTTGGATGGTATTGTCCCAAACTTACTTCTGTCTGCAAGTCATGAGGATGAACAAGTAGAGGATAGTAACATATTGGGATCTGGTTGTATATATGGCCCTAATTCTCCTCGTCGAAGATCCACTGTAGAGTTTTTGGATAACACAGTGCTTTTGGCAATGTCTGATTACGTTGATCAAAGTCCAATGCAATTTGTCAAAGAGAATCCTCGGAGTTATGGGACTCGTTTGGACTTAAAGAATGATTTTTGTGATGCACCCAGTTACTACAATATTGTTGCAAAAACTGCAAAGAGGTAAATTATTTATTTTCTGCTGAGTCATAATATGTAAATCACTGCCTCCTCTTTACCTAGTCATATATATGTTGTTTACTGTTTGATTAAGCTATACATGTCTATCTTCCTTGTATTCATTTGAATTTGAAAATGTATATGATTGACACATGTCTAAATATTGTGGTGATTCATCACTTACAGGCATCCTGGACAGCGCTCTAGAGCTCGCAAGCTTCAGTACATTGCTGAACTAGAAAGAACTGTGAATGTGTTCCAGGTATAATATGTAATTACAATTTATTATACTGTTTTCTGCTATGAGATATAATGTTCTGTCTTACAATGTGCTGGTACTCTTGTTGCACTACTAATGAAAGGAGACATAATAAACTAGATCTCTGTTTGCAGATATTTCCTCTTATTATGCTCTTCCTTGCGTAAATTATCAATCATCTTTTGCATGTAACAACTCTTATTTTCTTCAGTGAAACATATTTATCTCTCTAGCCATTAAGTCAAGATCATATGTGAACTAATCTGTGACATGTATCTTTGATGTTTCTTAAGTTGTTTGCCTAACCTTTTGTTTTCCCTTGATGATTGAAATTCAAGCAATTCATTTGTGGTTAGGACATATTTTATACTTACTCTGTTTACTTTATAGTATTTACACATTATACTTTGACTACATTGGGTGATTTGTAAATAATCGTTTCACTAAATTACAACACTTACATATGACACATTATTTAAGGTAAAAGCAGAGAGAGGCAAAGCAACCTATGTGATTACAAAAGTATATTCTAATAAGATTAAGAGGACAGGAGAAGTTATCACCGTATCCTCAAAATATAGTAACAGTTGGTTAAAGTGTGTTAATTTTTTTTTTCCTTTTTTTTGGTTGGATAAATTTAATATTCTCAAGTCAGACTTAGTCATAATAGATTCAGTCATGGTACAAGTGTTTGTGCTATGGGATTTTGTCAGATAAGTGGAAGCCAAGTTAAAGCTTATGAGTTTAGAACAGATTTTGTATGTAAGTTCATGTATCCATTAGATTTCCATGTGAAGGCTTAGAAAAAATAAAATAATATTATTTTTTTTATCAGAAACTTCAACTCCTTGTTACAGCTTCTTCGATTAATGTCATGATTTAAGGAACTTTATGGACAATAGGCAACCTATCTATTACAAATAGTAGCCAACTATCATTTAAAGACAAACAAATGGCCAATAGAATTTTTATAGCTTAGTGCATAAGGTGTTTAAAATTACCCTTGGTAGCCATTACCAATGAACGAGAACCGACTTTGCATTAACAATGAAAGCTCTTATTTATTGGTAGTTGTTGCATAAAGCTCCTTATTCTTTCTGTGAATCCATTGTAAACTATATAGTTGCCAACTTGCAACATTGCTTGGTGATATTCATTGTCAGTGCTTTATATGAATGTCTAGAGTTGACAAAGCAACTTAATGGCCGTGTTCATGCTTGGTTTCATGTCAATTTTGGGGTCACCAAATATTATAAAAATTATGTAACAAGTAGAATGATAGCGTATCTCTCTAGTAGAGTAGTAGGTTCTTCAAAATTGTCTTCCAGACTCTTAATGAATGCACTCTAACGTATTTTACCTATAGAATAGTCCTCAATCCCACCAAAATGTGTTTTGTATTATTCAGTTGCATGCAGAATTCATACCCTCTAAAGTGCCATATCGGCTTCCAAGATGTTTTGCATGACCCTCCCCCCCCCCCCCCCCGGGCCCCCGTCTTCCAGGATCTAGAATGACTATTGGTACTTTTAACTTGTTATGTTAATGCTTGCTTATCATATGCAAAGATTGAAGTCATCAAGAGGACATTTCTATTTTCTGGACACCTCTAAGCACCAGTTTTTTTTTATTTATTTTTTTTTGTTTTTTTTTTGGAATATAACTAAACAATGAGGCAGGGAAATTTTTAAGAACCATACTACTTTGCGCAAAACTTAGTTATTTGAAACTTGACTCTCACTAAAATCTATCTAGTGATATTTGGTCTTTTGTTCAAGAGGTTCACAATGAACAATTTAGTAGTACTTGTCTGGGGATTTTCTTGTTTCATACTCACCCCCCTCTTCCGGTCAGCTGTTCTGAATAATTGTTCTGTGTTGCAGACGTTGCAATCAGAGCTATCAATAAGGGTTTCTACCTTGCTTCAGCAAAAAGTTGGATTGTCTCTGGAGAATAACCAGTTAAAGCAGCAGGTGGCAAAGCTACAGCAACAAAAGCTGTTGATGGATGGTAAGCCTATACTTCCTCATTTTAATTTTTTGTAACAATCAGTTTTTTTTTTTTTAAAGCCTGAATCTCTTTGTTACTATTTAATGTCTTCCTGTGCTTATCTTTTACGTTGAATGCAAGTGACAACACATCCTGTTTTCAACAGCTGCTTCACATTATATTTTGTGCTCTTCAAAAGTAATAGCCCAATTTTCTGATATAGTAAAACTTCAACTCTGTTAGCTTCTCTGAGTACCTGTCGTTAATGGCCTTCTATGAAACTTGAGTCATCCAGAATGCAAAAACAGAGTCACTAGTGCAGAGTGGTCATAGTTGGGAAGATTTAGAGGATTCCTTGCTAAATACAGAGTAACAGATTATATCTTTTATGTTAAAGTCATGCTTAATGTGACACCATTATCCTAGTGTTTTTTTTTTCTCAGGCCAAATATAATAAACTCAAGAACCTAAAGGTTCCAAATTATTGGACCTTTTCTGGCTGTCTCCCACTCAACAACTTGCTGTATACCCACAAGGTTTGATTGGTTTGCAACCACTCAACATAAAATATTTTTTATAAAGTCAAGTTGGCAACTGTGTAATATAGTCATCTTTTGCTAATAAGGTTGGAGCCAACTGAATAGTTTGATGTTTCAGTGCTAGTTTTGATACGCTCTTGGGTAAGACCGTCTCATTAAGATTCATCGTGATTGGTGAGTGTGACACTATAAGTTACGCTAAACAGTATGAGGTCACCCTCTGTAAGTGCTTCCTTCCTAATTGGTTAACATGTTTCTTGTTTGTCAATGCATAAATTCAATTGCAAATATTTTTATTATATAAATAAGTAGAATAAAGTAAAGTTAGATATTATATAATGAGAGAAATTAGAGTTTGTGAATAGTATCTAAAGTCAAAATATGTCAACTAATATGAAACTGAGTATGCAGTTACCCTGGCCCTGGGATAGCACTCCCAATAGATTTTTGTGACACTGTTACGTACAAGACTTTGCCTTACATGTTTAGCAGCGATAATAAAAGGCAAAAGGCTAAATAATACATATTTTCGACAATAACATTCCTTCTTTACTAAAAATAGTCTAAGTTTGTTACTTTAATTCCATTTGACAGGAGAATATCAAACCCTGAGCAAAGAAGCTGAGAGGCTAAAGCTCAGCCTGGCAAATTCTCGAAGCAGCACAATCGACACATATGTTGGTTCAAATGAGACTGATTCTGGAGAAGTATCATGGCAGATTTTGGATTGGACAAAACTTCATTTGTGAATCTGATCTTTGAAGGCTAGGTTGTTCCCATCCAAATGATTTGCCAGATTTTTTGATCGAATATTTGTGATCAAAAGAAAAATGGAAATACTTTCCACAGCAGCTGCACGAATGAGAACTTATGTGAATTACTTCAATATCTTTTCGCTGTTGGGTATCATTATGAGTAGTATATTTCTTCTAAGAACATTTTTTGCTTGGTAGCCTGGTCGGTTCATCTTAAACTTGATAGATGTATTGAGGTTCCATTTATTTACAAGATGTACATCATAATGCCCTTTCATATCCACAACATGTACTAACAAGTCAATCTATCTATCAATTGGATGTCCTAAAATTCAATTATACCAGATATACAAGATTCACCTAGACATAAACTCGTTTCTAACAAGAGTGGACTAATTTTGATTTTTTTAATAAGAAGAATAATATCATTAATGAATAGTCATATGACATCTACAATAATATAAGTAATAAAGATTTTTAAACAACAAATTTAATAATACTACTAAATTGAATTGGCGGTATGGTGATGCTCCTTGTGAACTAAAAAACATAGGCTGACTCAATAAGGTGAAAAACATACTATCTTAGATTGATATTGTTCTTAACATAGTACTTCTTACGTTCTCTTTTCATTGCAATCGGAGAGGGGGGCAGGGTGGCAGGGTGTATTACTATTGTGGGAGAGGATATAGACATAGATAAAAAGAAAAACACGTCTAATGTGGAGAGAGATGGTGAGCATTATTGGATAAATAAAGTAATTTTATAATTAATTTGCAATTTCACAAAATAAATATGTTGTGATTAAAAGAAAATGAAGGAATTACTATTTTGCACAAATATTACTAAAAAGGAAAGACAATTAGATGAAAACAAGACCCCCTTACTATCATAAGGCCACTTATTGATTCACAAAAGTGGTCTTATGATGGTATAATTGTCTTGGGAGATTCTCAGGCTCTAGCTACTAGAGGTTTTAATGCCTCTAGTAAGGACCAATCTATATATTAAAATAGATGTTAAAAAAAAGGAAAATAAAATTATTATTAAAAAAAAAAAGGTCATGTGACTCCAAGAGAGAGGAGTCCAAGGGAGAGAGAGAAAGAAAAAAAAAAGTTCAGCTCTCCATTATCAATTGAAGCACCCAAAAGAAGGAGAAAGTAGCTAAAATTTTTCCATATTTTCGGTAGTGGGAGGATCGATACATTCATCAATTTGTTGAAGACAGAAGAGGAGGAGGAGCATCAATCCAAGGAGCAAGGATGAAGCTTTCAACTACATCTTGTAAGTTATAGTATATATTTGACTTCATTTTTAGGGAATTGACATCTTAAATTGTAAATCTATAATAATGAAAATTGTAAGTAGTCATTGAAATTGGTGGCCGGGAAGAAATACATGTTGTAGTTGTGGTGAAATTATGTATATGTGCTAGGTGTAATTTTATAAATATTTAAATATTTAATTGTGGAATAATTAGCGGTAATAAGAATACAATAAAATGGTTGATTACTACTATTGGTTAAAATTGTTGTTGGTGTTTAATTATGATGTAATTGAAAAAAAAAGAAAAAAAAAATAGAAGTATAAGAAATTTAAAAGTAGTATTTTCGTGTCTTATGAACCAAAACTTATGTACAAGTATTTTTTTTTTTTTTTTTGACAAGAACAAATGTATTCATAAAATCAGAATTTACAACCTACAGAACAAGAACTTAAACTTAAAATATGACTTTTAACACTAAAGCCGTTACGACAACTTTTGAGATTAAAGACGAAAATAAACTTAAATTGGCCTGATAAGTCGCAGATTAGGGACTCCTTACAAACCAAGGAGCAAAAACATACTATATTCCACGAAGAGAGCAACGGAGGGGAACGAAACTGTTTGAGCATGGCTAGCAAATCCTTACATGGCGGGATCAACTCATCACCAAGTAAGGTCATCAAACGGGTCACTTGAACTAGTGACCTTCCAATCAATAGCTTTCCTTGTTGGCAAGAAAGCTTTGACAACGTTGAGGCTCGAGAAACCCCAAAACAAAGTTTGGGCGCCTATTTCAGATAAAAAGGATCAGGAGTAATGACCAAACAAATCATTACATCCGAGGGAAGAGAAACCAAACCCACACCACTCCAACAACATACACACTTCACCTTAGCCAAGGCCAACTTCTTGTTCAAACCCCCAACAACCGCACCTTTAACCTCTCTTACCACAATAACCACACCACAGTCCTTAACAAAGGATCTTAACTCCCTCTGCACACAACCATCCAAAATGATATAGCCAAAACAACTAAATAGTCCGGAAAACAACCAAAGGGGGCTAAAACATGCCGTAACACAAGCTAAGGCAAATAAACTCTGAAAAATACTAATAACAAACATACTTAAGAAAGGGAACAAACTAGAGGAGAGCACCGTCCAAACCGAAAACCCGAAACCACTTACACTAGGAACTCGAAACCCTAGCCCTAACTTCACCGTTTCCGTCACTAACTACTCTTGACGGCGGCGTTAGACTTAGCCCTCCAGCACAAGGACCCACGAAACCCTAACCCTAACTTTACCGTTTCCGTCACAGTCAAAATTACCGATGACCTTTATGACGGCGGCGTTAGGCCTTGTTTCACCGGCGAAGACCCTTTGAACGAACACAAACCTTCCACACAAAGGTGGACAACGACGACGGAGGTGGACGATCTAAACACTCCCCTCAGAACCTTCGAAACTTAGAAGAGGCTCTCACAAACACCTCCAAAGGATTAAAATCCCCGAGAAGAAAGAGGAACACGGTGTGAGTAAACCACCAAACCCAAGAAGGGGAAAAGAAAATAAAGGGGAAGAGAAACAAAATCCAAAAGAAGAAGAAAACAGAGGAGGGGGAAAGAAGACGAGGGGGCCACGGCGGCCGGAGCTCCAGCGGCTCTGAGTTTGAAGCCACCTCAAAGCAGGACGAAAAGAGGAAATGATAACGGAGGACAGAGCCTCTCTCGCCGGCGATCCTCGCAGATTACAAGAGGAGAGAAGGAAGGAACCTCGCCGGAGAAACGGCTGCGGCGCCGGATCTTCGGCGAGCCTTAGGTTTCCGGCAGAAGGTTTCTTTGGAGGAGGAGAGAGAATAGAGAGTTTGGAGGAGTAGAGAACGGCCTTTCCATGTGTTTATGTTGAGGATCGATGAATTAAACAGTTATATTCTACTTATGTGGAGATCTAATTGTGAAGGTAAAATTGCTTAACGAATTAAATTGCGATTGGCTTGATGCTCAATATTGGTCTACAATTGATGTTTGTTGGTATGAAGTTGGTTTTACGAATTAAAAGGTATACATTTGTTGTATATTGGTATAAATATGTAATCAAAGTATTTTAACATATTGATTTTGGGCTTTAAGAAAGCATAATGTATTAATTTTTAGTAATTGAGAAAGTATAATGTGTAATGTATGAATAATAATATAATGGTGTGAAAAATGATAATCACTTCGTTTCAAAATAAATGTCCCATTTGACTTTTTTTGCGCTATTCACAAATTTCACGCTGACCAATGTTAGTGATTCATATATAAGAAAAAATAATAATAATTATATAGGTACTTGTTAGAATCGTCTAACAGCCTTCAACAACATTATTATTACATTTTGGCCATGACAAGAGCAAATACTGCCATTTCCATGAGGATGTTGGCCATGACACCAACGGTTGCTATAGCCTCAGGCGGCTGTTGGACCGTCAGTCTGAGGAGGAGGCTCTGAAGTCCTACTTACCCAAGTCCAAGGGTACCCCCAAGACAAACAAGGGACACCTATCCAAACCAACGGCTGCTAACTCTGAAACAGACGAAGAAACAGTCTTCACTAAAGCAGGCGGTTTTGCGGGTGGAGGTCCCACCATCCGGGGTACTGAGGACAATATCAGGAAGCTGGTCAACTCAGCAAATGAGGGTCAGGCGGCGAAAGACACCTTTCCTGAGGTCCTTATTCCTGAAAAAGACCGAGGCCAGGTTAGACGGCCTCACGATGACCCCATCGTCATCGAATGTTATGTTGCCAACCAACGAGTTGGCCGGATCTTAATTGATACCGGGAGCTCGTCAAACATGATAAAATATCAGTGCTTGACAAAGCTTAAGTACAAGCCTAGCAACATGCATGAGGCTCCTCACCCCTTAGTCGGTTTTGGGGGAGGGGTGGTGCATCCGGTGGGAAGGATTGACCTACCCATCTGGCTGGGAGAAAAGGGGCAAGGGCGGCACATGGTCGTCAAGTTCCTTGTTGTTGAGGAGCTATCCGCCTACAATATGATTTTTGGTCACCCCACCCTCAACGAGTCCAAGGCTGTCATCATCCCGTCTCTCATGCTGATTAAGTTTCAGAAGGATGATGGGGCAGTCGGTGCCTTGAATGAGGACCAAAAGACGGATAGGGAGTGTTACCTCTCAGATGTCAAACCAACTATGGCTTCAGCCAGTCATGGCGAAGAACCTATATAACTGGATAACTGCGATCACGCAGTGCCATCTCTAAGGGCAACCGGTAAAAAGAGAAAGGTGGACCAACTGGCACCCGTCAAAAAAGAAAAACAATAGCAATCACTGACCGGTGAACGGTCGGATGACCTCCGACCCCAGCCGGCTGGTGAGGGCGTTGATGTCGTCCTAAACGACAGCCGGCCCGATAGAACTGTGAAGGTTAGGACGGTCGCTTTTGAGAAATTGGGAGCAGATTTGCTCCAACAGGTGAGAGAGTTCAAAGACATTTTTGCCTTTGAAGTGAAAGAGATGCCAGGCGTCAGCCCGTATCTTGCTGTCCACAAACTCGTCGTTGATCCCAAAAAGAAACCGGTTAGGCAAAAGAAGAGGAATCACGGAGAGGAAAGATCTCAGGCGGCAGCTGCCGAGGTCAAAAAGTTGCCAGATGTTTAGTTCATCCGGAAATGCTACTACTCGGATTGGGTA